ATTCAGACCTTACCTCCTTGCCATAGCCATCTAAAACCCAGCTCCCTTAATTCAAATTCAAAGCCTCTGACCCAGAGCCTCAGAAAATATTCCCACCTCCTCTGTTTTCCACACCCAGCCACTTCAGGTTCCCAGCCTTTAGCTCTCACCCTCAATGATGTGTTTGCGGCTCAAGCCTCGCTCAGTTTCTGCTCTGTAGGAAAAGGTAAGTCAAAGATGAGGTGTGACAAAGGTAAGGGACCAGGACTGGTTTGGTACCATGAGGAGGTGGAATTGCACAATTCCTCAGAGGCAGTTGCACGCCTGGCAGTTGCACAGCTGTCCCCACTCCCATTCCATGCAACTGCACACGCTCTCTGTGGATCTATAGTGGGCAGGCACTTACTGTCCTCCCCAAAAAATCTTGGTGGTGATTACATAGCTTGATCTCCTGGAGAAAGAAAAAAATGGAAGAACGAGCAAGAAGGATTTTTCGATGACCATGTCCCCAGTATCCTCTCAAAACAGTCTCACCTCCATCCTTTGCTCTTGAGGATGTTGCCAAGGGTTCTTTCAGCCCTGGAAGAAAGATAATGCAGAAGCACTGACCCATCCAAAGTGGAACAGTTCCCTTCCCCTCCTGCCTGTTGCCTTTAACTAATTTCCTATCTTGTAGAGCATAAACTAGGAGCCCATTGGGTTGTCAGTCCCATCCTGGACTAAATAAGTGGGGGTCCCAGAACTAGGAGTGTAATCCTATAGTTTTTATTCACTCAGGAAATACAAATTATGCATCAACTATGTACTAAGTTCTAGTTCTATTCAGAATAGAACTAGTTCTACCATATTCAGTTCTATGCTGAGCGTATAGCATAGGATGAGGGGAAAGAGACAGACAGCTGTAGTGGAACCAGGGAGGACACTAAGTTATCTGGTCATGTCTTGCCCTCTCCACTTCTTTGAGTCTGCAAAATCCCATCCATCCTCCAATCTTAGCTTTGATTCTGCCTCATTTTATGGAAATTCTGATTGCCATAGTCTGTGGTCAGTCATCTTGTCAGCTTTAGTAGCTCTTACCAGTTATGCAATTCTTTGGCATTTAAGTATTAGCTAACGTGTAATGTCTTAAGTTGTTATGGTGGACTGTTACGTGTTTTACTGTTAACCTTTCATAGCTCCCTGTCTTTTGGGTTAGTTTGTTTAGCCATTTAGACTGTGAACTTTTTAAAAAAAAAAAAAAGATTTATTAATTTATGCATACAAGAACTGGGGTACAGACCAGAAGAGTGGGAGGTGAGAGGATTCACCAGAGACAGAGTGGGGAATAGAACAGGCAGGTTGACTGAAATACACTGCTGAGGGGAGCAGCAGACGGGTCAGGAGAGGTCTGCTGCACCATGTGGGTAACTCCCTGGCTAGGGATCCAACTCCGTGCTGCAGTGGCTGCGGAAGTTTCATAGGTTGTGTCTTAACCCCTTAGGCCACCAGGGAGGCCCTAGACTATGAACTTTATGAGTGCATGTTGATGTCGACTCACTAGCAGATCCTGCTCTGTCTGTGTTAGGTTCTTTGTAGATACTTAGGTGACATGGGAAGAGCAAGACAAGTTCCATGGAAGGAGCAACTTCCCAGTTGAACAGGGAATATGACCACATAAGCCAGTAATTGATTAACAGTGTCAGAGAGCAGTATAGACTGTTTTGTGAGCTGAGGAAGGTTGTGATCAACTTCAGGGAGTTGGGCAAAGGCCTCTTGGAAAAGCTGACATTTGGACCAAGTCTTAAAGATGAGTAGAAGAGTTTGCCAGAGAAGAGACAGCAGTAGGTCATCTCAGGTTTTGGCTAATTTCAGTAGGAGCCATGGGTGTGATGTGATGTGGTATACTTGAAAAAACTGCTTTGTAATCCTCACAGAGTTGCACATAACTGACACCAGGATATAGTTGTTTCATTTTGACTGCATAGTATGTCCATTGCCCTCTAAACTGGAGATGGATTGATGTGGAACTACAGTTCCCATAATGCTTTGGGGCCCACTGGCTGAAAGATTGGAACTTAGTGTTTGCAGAATTCCCAGGGTTCTCTAGAGGAAAAACAAGAAGCCCTGATGTTCTCATCCTTCCAAATATAACTTAGCTCTTTCACCCCGGTCCTTACTTTCCTGCTGCATATACTTCGGCAGTGTCAAACAGGTTTACACCATGTTCATAGGCTACTGTCAGCACATCCTCTGCTGTCTGGGGAGGTGAGAGAAAAGTTGAAGATCAGCCACTGGTTCCTTAATTACCTCCTTCACTGCATGCTCACCAGTCATACCTCAGGCCCGGTTTCCACGTTCTTCCTCATCCCTCCAGCCTTAGGTGCACAATGCTACATGCTTATTGTCTAAACCCCTATCCAAGTCCATTTCCTCCCTTTTCTGGTCCCCTCAGATCCCCTCATCCTGTTCATAGTCCCATCACTTATACCTCATCTGAGATCTGAGAACCAAATGTGACCCAGGTTCCTGCAAGAGAAAAGTCAGACAGATGAAAACCGCTGGAGGCAACCCATGAAAGAATGCATATTTCCTTAATTCCTATACTTTCTAACTCACCTAGGCCAAGACAGGATACCCGAAGACCAGACTTTCCTAGGTTCCTGCAGGAAACAGAAGCATCAGGAAGGAGTATGTCCATTAGGGACACAAATTCTCAGCCCTCATCTTTTCAAGCCTTCAGGGTGTCTCAGTCCAGAGAATTTGGCAATGCTATACCCATAGCATTAGTGAACAAATAAATGACTGTTCTGGAGTCACTGTCCATGCCTCTTTTCCCTTCTATCACATTGAAGATGTACTGCCTGATTTGTGTTTCTTCTCAGTAGGGGGCTCATTGTTTGAATTATCTCTGGAATGTAAGGAGTAGGGGGCCCAGGAGGAATTGAATGGCTGGTTGTGATGAGTGTAAAAATAGACCCTCAGAGTGATATGCTAGAGGGCAGACACCAGATTAGAAGGGGTAAACCAAGTCAAATTCAGGCACTCAGGCAGGCAAGGCTTTTAGATTGGCTAGCCAGATGGACCTCCAGTAAAGGCAGGTAGGAAACCTGGGTGTGGAAAGCCTGATTCCCCTTCTTTCTCTCTCCTATTCCTCTGCTTCTGTTGACTTGTTAAGTCTATCTCTGAACCAGAGTTCCCTCCTTCCAAGACCACCCACCCAAGCAAAGGGAATAAAATTCCCCAATTGACAAAGTCAGGTAAGGTCAGGGACCTCTGCTCACTCCCAAGTAGGAGCCCCCTCCCTCTACTGCAAGTTCTGAAAGCTCAGCTATTCCCTGTGATAGTCAATTACATTTCAGTTCATCTACACCTGGCTTTGTTCATCAGCATCTTCTCCGCAAGACCCTGTCCTTCTAACGGCCCAACTTCCCACCCTACCAAGAGAGGTCACAGAAATCTGGACCCTGGGGCAGGAGGGGGTAATATCTGGGTCAGGCACCCTAAGCAGGCCAGAGTGAGAAGCTATTTCCTTCCCAAGACACCAGCCCAAGGACACTCTATTGGGAGGGAGGGTTGGGGGGATGCTGCCTGAGATCCTGCATTCCTGGCCTTCCTGGGGCTAAGGAGGGGAGCTCAGGAGCTTCCCCTAGGTCTGACAGGATACAGCCAACCTTGGCAAACTTGATTCTTTCATAGTCAGGGTTATTGATGGAGACCAGGACAGCAACGAAGTAAGGGAGTGCCAGTGAAGGGAAGAAGAGATGGAAATGAGCCGGAACCTTTTTAGCAAAGTTTGAGGGGGTCTGGCAGCATCCCGGGAAGACTCAGGGGTCAGGAAAGGGGAGCAGATGCGGTAGGCTGCCCGGCCACCCCCATACCTGTATTTCATGCCAGTGCCTCTGCCGGTGCTCTCTCGGAGGGCCCCAGCGGGAGCTGGGGGTCGGGGGACCAGTGCGGTCCGGCCCTTGGGGCCCGATCCTCCTCCCCCGGGAGGATTCCCATGTCCCCCGCCGGCCGGCCCGCCATTACCGCCCCCGGGGGCCGGCCGGGGTCCACACAGACGGTCCTCACTGCTCCGGCTGCGAAGGTTCTGTTCGGTACACGCGATAGACACCTGCATGCCGGCCGGTCAGGAAGGGGAGGGGGCTCTCAGGGGGCGGGAGGAGGAGGGAAAGGGAAGCCCGAGAGCAGACACCCGGGGGTGTAGTGGCGCGAACCCTAGGAGAGCGGGAAGGTTGAGGAGGCTGCGGCGGGAGCAGCCAGCAGGATCGGGCCCGCGGGGGCGGGTTGCTGGAGGTCGCTGGGTTTGCGGCGGGAGGGGAGAAACGCGGGAGGCGCGGGAAGTGGAGATACTCGGATACCGGGTTACTGGTGCCGGGAGGAGGAGGAAATGGATGAGGGTAAAGGTCAAGAGCGATCCTCGGAGGTCGGGACCCAGGGACGAGGGGGGCGAGAGGGATGCCACCTCACCCCCTAACCGCAGCGGGACCGCTAGGCTCCCAGCCGCGTCGGCAGCTGGCCCAGCTAATCAACATGCAGGCACCGCCCTCTCATTTGCATAGACTCCCGCCTCCCAGCCAAACCTGCCGCTCATCTGCATAAGCCCCGCCTTCAGAACGCTTCTCCTTGAATAGTCTGTGTACTCAGAGAAGCCAGAAAGCAGAATCCAGAGGGTGGTTTTCGCATATTCTGGGACCCCAGGCAACGGCGTTCCTTCAGCCAATCGGGGAACGATTTTGTCCCCCAGAAGGCGTTCAGCAAAATCTGGAAAACTTCTGACTTTCACAACCGGTGCCGGGAACTTGTCACCAGCATGTAGCAGTGATTATTGGCCAGAAAAGGCACAGGACGCCCTCCCTTCTCCACTCTCCTCCACCCCATCAGCACAAAGAATTATCCATCCCAAAATATCAAGAGTGCTGCTGTTGAGAAACCCATGGACAATGATGTCTCTTTGCAGGTTCCGGGGGGATGTGGACACCCTGGTTCCTGTTTTGAGTGAGGCTGTACCCCAACCAAATACTCAAACTGACACGCTCAGTGGCAGGTTACAAAAAGTTTATTTTGTACTTCTTGCAGTCAAATAGGGGATAAAATTGGAGAAAGGGCCTGGTTTGGAGATGTAGGGACTACAATAGGCTTCCTTTACGTGACTGGGAGGGCACCAGGCTGGTTTTAGGCTGTAGCCCCAAAAGGGCTGCAAGAAGGGTTGGGGAAGGGAGGAGGGGCTGCTGGCATTGGAGTCCCTCAGGTAAAATGAGTTAAGAAAAACAGGGATTCTCCTAAGGGTGAGGTAGGGTGCTTTCTTCAGCCAGCTCTGGCGGAGAAGAAGGGCAGAGAGCGGACGTAGGAATCCAGTCGGGAGCGGAAAAGCTCACTTTGCACAGTTTGGCCCAGTGGGCACAGGGGATTCTTCACCACCAGCTCCACGTACAGCTATGGAGAGGGAGGATGTTAGAACCAGGTTTTGTATACTTCTTGTTTTCAATCCCAAACCCAGTATAATCTCAGTGGTTTGGTGAATAGACAAGGATTAAGGGGTGGGAGGCAAGCACTTCATGAGAAGAAAGTGATGTTTAAGGACCTAACGGGTTCTGAGAAAACTTTGACTTAAGTAGAAATACACTGCAGTGATATTAGGGCAGGAAAGCTGAAGGAGTCTTGGGAGCTCTAAGTGGCCAGTTATTGAGGAGCTCTGGGAGAAGGGTCCCAAGGGCTAGCACTGACCGCACTGTAGATGTGGTGCAGCACATCTCGGATAGGTCCCACACCCAAGTCAGTATTCATGACAACCTTGATCCCAGTGGGTGTCTCGTAGTAATGGAGTTTGTAACGGCTAGTTTGGAAGGCCAGGAAGCCGTCCTTCCTGCAGAGATAAGATGTTAAGGTATGGGAGCAGCATTTCCCCAGGATACTTCTGGTCCCCTCCAGGTCCATTCTGTCTTCTCTAAACATACTTGTAGGCACCCGGTTGAGTAAAGACATCTCCCATATTCACCCCTCAAATTAGCTCTGGCCACCCAACCTATCTTTTGATCTTCCCTTCTGCCAGTTCCTGCCAGCTCCTGCACTCTCGCTCCATACTCAGGTTCTCTAAGTCGCCTTCCCCTTTGGGGCCAATGTCCCCTCCACTTCGGAAAGTTCCCCCCACTCCCAAATACCCAACGTTAGCCCTTCTTCCCTCAATGCCTCCCTTTGACGCCGCGTACATGTCTAGCGGGGACATCTTGCTGACAAACGAGCGGATAGAGAAGAGCATCCCGTACATCAGCTTGTACTCCTGGAGGGAGAGGGGCAGAGTTAGTTCTCGGTTGCTGAAGGAGGCGGGGTAGGGATGGGAACCAGCCGGGGGTTGGAGACAAGGGGCTGGACTGAACTATGTGCGCCTGGACACGCGAGGTGACCCGGGTTGAGCGAGGCCCTCTCGTCACCTCCTCCTTGGGGATCCCTGCTTGCTTCTTGCGATGCCACTCGCTGTAATGCAGACACACTCCATTCCGGTCAAACAGGTACAGGTTGTGGACAGTCATCTGCAGGATGAGAGTGTGAACCTCGCTCCGGGACTGCCCACACTCGGTGGGCTCAGTTCTCGATTCCGTGTCCCTTCAAATAGGCAGAGGGCCCCCTCCTCCGGGACTTACCGGAACTGCTCGGGGTTGCCAGTCTCTAGGCACTTCCGGTTTCCGTGGCGCCCCGCCCCACCCCTCTGTGGCAGCGGAGCTGTAACTCCGCCCCAATACTTAGCCAATCCGTGGTCGCCCGAGCTGCGCACGCGCGCCCAGGCTCCCCGGCTCTGGAATCTGAGCGGTTCTGAGTTTGGCTTCCAGGGCTGGTGACGTCATCTAGGCGAGCGAGGCGGCGCTGCGGAGGGTGGGCGGGAGGCTGCCAACGGTTTTGAGTGTAGGAAAGGGCAAAAGAGGGGGCTTTTTTGGTCTTCCCGGACCAGCAAAACTGGAGGTGTGGAGAATAGGCGGAACGTGGTGATCGGGATAGAGGATCCAGGCGCGGCTTCAGAGCGGTGTACTTTTTAGGGACCTCAGAGCGTTCGCGAGGTTTCTTTTGCAGGAGGGAGGGAGGGAGGGATTCCAGAGAGCTGTGCTATGGCTTTCTTCACTGGAGAAGTGTGAGGGGCTACACACTTAGTTGATTCTGGGTAGAACTGGTGCTTAGTCCGAGGGGTATGGGAAGGTGGGGAGTATGAGGTTTCTGCTTCTCTGAGATTGGAGCCGTTTGAGGGGCAAATAAGGCAGCTGGACGGAAATTAGGCCCCTATTGGATCTGGGTCCTCTTCACTTTGCACGTTTTAGATGTTTGAACTTCAAAGATCGGTTGATCAGAGATAATCTGCGTCAAAGTTGATCTCTTGCAGCTTTCTGCTCCCTAGAACTGCAGTGTTGCTCTTGAGCCGCAGTAGGTGCTCTGTCCCCACCCCCTCCTTGCTGCACCCTCCTTTTCCACCAGGTCTAGGAGCTGTGGAAAGAAATGCTTTTGCCTTCTCCCATGGCCTCTGGAACCAGTGGAAACTTTCCCTCTAACCAGAAAGCCTCCATACCCTTATTCATCAAAGACCCTTGGTCTGGAGTCTTCCTCCTTTCTCCCAAATCCTCCTCTACCTACTTTCCCCACTGGACTCTCCTAAAGCAGAACCAGGAGTTCCCAACTTGCTGCCTACAGTCGTATCTTCCCTGTACTCATGGCAAATTCAGCTACCAGTCCCAGTTCACCTCTCCGGGCAGAGGATCTCCTGAGTGATTCGTCAGAAGCCCCAGGACTGAACCAAGAGTCCTCTGAGGTGACCTCCCAGCTCTATACTTCTTTGCACCTCAGTCGTCAGGCAGAAGCAACAGCGCGAGCCCAACTGTATTTACCCTCCACCTCTGCACCTCCTCATGAAGTGTTAGACAGCTTGGCTCAAGAACTCAGTCACAGCTTGTCAATTGGATTGGAAAACAATTTGAAGAAAAAGGTGAGGGAGCTTGTCTTGGCGTGGGGGTGGGGGTGTCTCAGGACTTGGAATGGTAAAAAAAAATAAACTTTTTTTTTTTTTACTATCATATGAACCGTATTTGGGTTTCAAATTTACTTTTAACTATAGAGTCAATCATGCTTATTCCTGGGAGCAGATATTTATAATTTGGGAAACTGAAACTTCCTAGTTTTTGTTGTTGTTTTGTCAGAGACACCTGCACTGTGGCATAGATTGCTGTGCTTTACTGGGATATGGGTACTGGTAGTGTGGATGAGGTGTCTTCATCCCAACAGCAACTAGAGCCTTAAGGCTAGCTTCAGATTTGCTAACTCGCTCAAAACTATTTTGACTGTGTGTTTCAAAATTTGGCATGTAAATCACTAAAACACAATTTAATGAACTGCACACATTGCAGAGAAGATAGTTATTAGCATTGAATAGAAAAGGTATCATAACCAGTTTGCAGACTGGTTAGATTTTTCTAAAACTGATAGCTACAGGCTACACAGTCTTTCGAAAGGGTGTTTGCTTTCTCGTTGGCCAGAATTCTCACCACTTGTCTTAACCTGCCCAGTTTATTCATTCATACTCTCTGGCGACTTGAGACATTTAAGTTCCTGACCTTTATCAGGTAATTTTTTTTTTCCTTCTTTTCCGAGGTGCTAGATCAAAAATTCTTAGGTTTCAGGGTACTGGATGCTATCTACTCTAGTAGAAGGTAGAATATAGATTATAAGATTATATCTAGTTTCTGTGTTACTTTTTTCTAGGATGGTTCCAAGCATATCTTTGAGATGGAAAGTGTTCGGGGTCAACTCCAGAGCATACTCCAAACCTCACGAGACACAGCCTATCGTGAGTAAACCCTTTCCCTGTGAAGGGGAACCTAGATTTAAGGAGTGGGAGAAAGTGGAGAGAGGAGGCAAAGGGAGAAAATGAGATCTGGGAGACAAGACAAAAGATGTCAGAAGAAAGGCCTCATTTCTTTGGGAGAAAGGCTAAAGGAGAGGATAAGGTAGAAGGGAACACCCTTTTCTATCTTCTTCAAGTGGTCCCAATTTTTATCCTTACCTGACCCTGGCTGTGGGGTTCCTCTGGCTGCTTGCAGGGAATCCCCTTACTCCAGGTGCTGACTCAGAGAGACGGGAAGAAGACTCCTTTGACAGTGACAGCACAGCCACCTTGCTTAAGTGAGTTTTCTTTGGGGTTTTACTAGCTTGCTTGCTCGGAAAGCCAAGTGTTCATTCCTTAGTTCTCTCTCCCTTTACTGCTTTGTTCTTAAGAACCCAGGACATTTGTCATTTAGCTTCCAGTTTTCATTCTTTCTCTCCTGTCTTCTGCCCTTTACTCTTTCAAAAACATGGACATCTGCTGCCCTAGTACCTGACTTTCTCCCAACTTTAAGTTAGCTTGTTTCTGCTAAAACTTACTGTCATAGTAGAGAGGAAGGAGCAGTAGAGATTGCATCACAGAACCTATATGGTATTTACAACTCTCACTACCCAGCTTTTTTGTGACTTTGAGCAAATCTCTTGCCCTTTCTGAGTTTCAGCTTCCTCATTTAAAAAAATTGCATTTAGACTAGTGAATCACAAAAACTTTCCCAACCCTAAAATTTCTACCTGATTTGCTTAGCACCCGGCCCGTACAAGACTTATCTCCGTCCAGCTCAGCCCAAGCCCTGGAGGAATTGTTTCCCCGCTATACCAGTCTTCGACCAGGACCCCTAAGCAATCCCCCAGACTTTCAGGGGCTCAGAGATGCACTGGATTCAGAGCATACTCGTCGAAAGGTGAGATACAAAGGCTTCTTTTTGAGATTGGCAAAGATTAGAGATAGGACTGAGTGCTGAAAAGGGCTGAGGGTTAAGGGCTGGCAAGCTGGGACTTTGCTCATAATAATGGCACACCTGCCTTCCAGCTGTTCTTTCAAATCACTCTGTTTTACTTTCATACAGCATATGCTTTATCTTGTTTGTTTTTCCCCTTTAAAAATCTAAGTTCCACCAGGGTCATACCTTGTCTTGTTTAGCACTGTCTTCCTGAGGTCTAAATATAGGTAACACATAGAAATAGTCTTTAATGAACAATGAACTTTGCTGATTTGTGCAAAGACTTTATAGTTATTGGTGATAGGAGCTTTATCTCTGTGAGCCCCAGTCTTAATCTGAAGTGGGCAGAAAGAGGCACAAGATAGAAGAAAAGCCAGAATCATTGGTTGTGTTGTCATTTTTGGAACCCTCTCCTCTGTTTTGTGCCATGGGCACAACGAAAGGCTTTCTCCTTTATCCTTGCTATGTTTAGTCATTCTGTCTAATGAACTTTTTTTTTAAAGATTTATTTATTTATGCATACAAGAGTTGCAGTACAGGCCAGAGATGCAGGGGGTAAGAGGATTCACCAGAGACAGAGTGGGGAGCAGAACAGGCAGACTGACTGAAATACACTGCTGAGGGGAGCAGCTGGGAGACAGGAGAGGTCTGCCTCACCATGTGGGTTGCTCCCTGGCCGGCCTGGGATCAAACTCGTGCTGTAGAGGCTGAGGATTGCTTCATAGTGTGGTGCTTAACCCCTTGTGCCACCAGGGAGGCCCATCTAATGAACTTTTTAAGGCAGGAGTAATTTTCCATTCTTTGCTGCATGGGCTGCTACACTCCTACTAAAATATTATTGGGAATTTTTCTTAGGAGATCCACGAGAGGAAAGAATCTGGAAGCTAAACCCCGAATTCCTGTGAAATTGTTGAAAGTCTTGGGCCTCTAGGTTCCCGCTCTAGAATTCTTGATTCTTCTTCTCCAAAATTATTATTTTGGGGTGGGGGGTGAAGGGTGGAGTGGGTTCTCTCACTTGCTCTCTGTCTGTCTGTCTCTGGAAAAACAAAACACTCACTACCATCCTTATATCCCCTCCACCCTTGCTCCCAGCCCCTGCCCTCTTCACCTTTGATAACCTCAGTTTCGTTATCCACCAATTTATTTTTATTTTGTTTTGTCTGTTCTTCCACTTTGTCTCTTTATATTGCACTTATAGGTGAAGTCATCCAGTATTTGTCTTTTATATTTTTAACTTCATTTCACATTTCATACTTCAAATTCTTGCCATTTGCTGCAAAAGGCAAAATTTCATTTTTCCTTATAGCTGAATAGTACTCCGCTGTGTGTGTGTGTGTGTGTGTGTGTGTGTATACACACACACACTACTTCTTTTTTATCCGGTTATCTATCAGTGGGCACCTAGATTGCTTCCATACCTCAGTTATTGCAAATAATGCTGCAGTGAACATTGTGATTTGATTCTTCAGTTTGATTCTTCAAATTGCTGATTTGATTTCATATTCCTTGGATATATACACTCAGAAGTGAGATTGTTGGGTTGTATGGTGTTTCTATTTTCAGTTTTTTGAGGAAGGTCCATATCACCTTCCAAAATAGCCATAGCAGTTTACATTCTGATCAACAGTATACAAGGATTCTTCTTTACCCACATCCTCATCAACACGTGTTAGCAGTCTTTTTTGATGTAAGCCCTTCTCACAGATGAGATATTTCCTGTGGTTTTGATTTACATTTCCCTAATAAGTGATGATGAACATTTTTTCATATGTTTGTTCACCATCTCTACATCGTCCTGGAAAAGTGTTTATTCAGATCCTCCAGTCTTAATTGGGTTGTTTTTTGTTGTTTATTTGGGTGTTCCTTATATATATTGGATATTAATCCCTTAATGGATGGATGTGTGAGGTACAAATTATCTACTCCCATTCAATAGGCTGTCTTTTTTTTTTTTTTTTTAAAGATTTATTTATTTATGCATACAAGAGCTGGAGTACAGGCTAGAGATGTGGGGGGGGGGGTGAGAGGATTCACCAGAGACAGTGGGGAACAGAACAGGCAGATTGACCAAAGTACACTGCTGAGGGGAGCAGCAGGTGAGCCAGGAGAGGTCTGCTGCGCCATGTGGGTTGCTCCAAAGTCGGCCAGGGGATCGAACTTGTGCTGCAGAGGCTGCAGACTGCTCCACAGCATAGCGCTCAACCCCCTGCACCACCAGGGAGGCCCAATAGGCTGTCTTTTTAATGTGCCGATATTTTCCTTCACTGTGCAAAAGCTATTTAATTTGATGTAGCCCCACTCCAAACCTAGTTATTGGGACCCAGGCTCCCTGTTTCCAAGCCATTTCCTTCTCAAGGAGCTGAGAAGTTTGGTGTCTTAGTCAGACTAAGGATGGTAACACCCAGACTTCTCATTCTTCTTCCCAGCATTGTGAACGCCATATTCACAGCCTGCAGACCCGAGTGCTGGAACTACAGCAACAGTTAGCTGTGGCTGTGACTGCTGACCGCAAGAAAGATATCATGATTGAACAACTGGACAAGGTGCCAGGGTAGAAGAATGGAGTGTGGGTGGGTTTCTCCATGGGGGGACACTAAGGAATAGTAAATAGGGGGTGACCAACCACCTTTATTCATGCTTGGAGCTGGTTTCAGGGGTGTGTTTACTGACTACTGGGAGGAGGTGGTTGTTGACTCTGCCCCTATGGGCAGAAAGGGAACAAAAAGTTATGTTGAAATTCCATCCATCATTCATCTCCTGAGACCCTGGCCCGAGTGGTGGAAGGCTGGAACCGGCATGAAGCTGAGCGGACAGAGGTGCTTCGGGGGCTCCAGGAGGAACGACAGGCAGCTGAAATTACTCGAAGCAAGCAGCAGGAGGTGGGAAACCTGGATCATTTGGCATGAGAATCTAGGTCATGGATTGCTAAATGAAAAGGGGGTTCCCAACAGATTGACCCAAGTCTTACAAAGCTGTCCTGATAATTCTTCAGTCCCGTTTCTTCTCCTTTCACTTGTTTCTGGTGTCATTGGTCACTTTCCAGCTCCCCCTAACACATTGTCTTTTATTTGGCTCCCAAGTCATTTAGTTAATTATTACTTTTAAAGTTTACGCTGTTGATGCTTTTTGAATTATAACAAACAGGTATTCCCCTCAGTTCTTCTGTCCCCTTTCCCTGAAAGACAGTAACCCGTCTGGAACAAAGCCTTTCTGAGGCCATGGAAGCCCTGAATCGTGAGCAGGAAGGTGCCAGATTACAGCGACGGGAGAGAGAGACACTGGTGAGAATGCTGGACTGAGTTAATTCCTTTAGAGGCTGTTAATTAAGTGCTTTTAGAAGGCAATGGGGTATTGGTAGATTGGTGGGTTGAGTTGCACCACACTCTTAAAAATAGAAAAAGGGCTCTGCTACCAACTAAGTTTGGGAGACTGTGTAAATTGTTTCATTTTAAGAATCATCCAGGGAATTATTTTAAAATACAGATTTCTGGGACCCATCCCCAGAGAAATCTTTTTTTTTCTTTTTAAAAGATTTATTTATTGGGCCTCCCCGGTGGCACAGCGGTTGAGTGCTGGGTTGCAAAGCTGCCTGCAGCCTCTGCAGCGCCGGTTTGATCCCCGGCTGCTCCCCGGCCACCGGAGGAGAATCCCACATGGTGCGCAGACCTCTCCTGCCGCCCGCTGCTCCCCTCAGCAGTGTACTTCGGTCCTTCTGCCTGTTCTGCTCCCTGCTCTGGCTCTGGTGAGTTCTCTCACCCTCCCGCGCTTTTGACTGTACCCAGTGCTTGTATAAATAAATAAATAAATGAATGAATGAATGAATAAATAAATAAATCTTTAAAAAAAATAAAATAAAATAAAAGATTTATTTATTTATGCATACAAGAACTGGCGTGTAAGCCAGAGGTGTAGGAGGGTGAGAGGATTCACCAGAGAGAGTGGGGAGCAGAACAGGCAGATCTACTGAAATACACTGCTGAGGGGAGCAGTGGGTGAGGCAAGAGAGATCTGTGCCATGTGGGTAGCTCCCTGGCCGGGGATTGAACTCATGCAGCAGTGGCTGGCGATAGCTTGATAGCACTGTCTTTAACCCCGGCACCACCAGGGAGGCCCCTCCCCAGAGGAATCTTAATGAATTCAATAGATATAAGGTGGGGCTGGAAAACCTTGTATTTTGAATTATAACGAACAGCTATTCTCCTCAATTCTTCTGTCCCCTTCCCCTGAAAGACAGTAACCCATCTGGAACAAAGCTGTTCTGAGGCCATGAGAGAATTTTCTAGATGATTTTGTTCAGCCAGGTTTGGGAACTCTGCTCTAGGGTTGAAGTGTGGGATTAGACAGTTGAAGTGTGGGATGAGACTCACTCAAGTTTCTCAACCTCTGAAATGATGAAAAGTGATTACCCATTTGAATTAGTAGTAGTTTTTGGAACTTGTTGCATGCATGACACATATATGCTACATGCATGTTGGTGGTTACAGTCTTAATAAGCTACATCCAACAGTGCTGATGATGGTTGCTTATAGATGAGTACATGATTATAGGCTGGTTTTCTAGTCTTTCTTTTGATGATGGTGATGGCAGCTACTGTATGTTGAGTACTTACTAAGTGCCAGACACTGTGATAAATGCTTTACATATACTTTTCACTTTAATCCTCACCAAGTAGACCCTATTATTATCCCCGTTTTACAGTGAGGATGTGTGCCTGAGAATACATAGTCATCAACAGAGCTGGTGTTCAAACTGAGATTTGAACTCAGATCTACCCAATTCTGCAACAGACGCTCTCTTATCTACTATATAATAGGTCCATGGGCTTGTCAGCTATTGTGTTTTTAATGGGCATAATTCTTAATAGGCATATAGGGATTTCAGAGCAGATTTCTGGTCTCTTGAAGGCATGCTAAAGATTTTTATTTTCTTTGGTGGCCAAAGGAAGAGGAAAGACAAGCTTTGACTTTGAGCTTGGAGCTAGAACAGCAGCGTTGCCGGGCCCTGCAGAAAGAACTGGATGAGGCTCGGACTGGTCAACTCAGTGAGCATCGACAGTTAGAAACACTTCAGGTTGTTATAGAAGAAGAACGGCAGACCTGGACCCAGCAAGAGCACCAGCTTAAGGAACGCTACCAGGCGCTGCAGGAAGAGGGCCAGGCTCAGTTGGAAAGGGAGAAGGTAAAAGTGGCAAGTAGGAATAGAGACAAAATGAAAAGCAAAATAATTACATGAGATGGGGTGTCAGAATATGGGGCATATTCTGGAAAGTGAAGAACTGTGTGTGAAAGATAGAACTGAGAATGTAGGACCAGAAGGAAGGACTGAGGCATCAAATACGTGGAAGGCCAAAGAGTGAGGTTAAACAGAGATGAGGAGATAGGTCAAATGTGAAGAGAGTGGGAAAGCTTGGGCTTTAAGATATGGGAGTATGAATTAGAGATTAGAGGCAACCAGGAGACAGAAAATGTGATATGTATTTAAATTTGATTTCTGTTTCTTAGGGGAATACCCAGAGGGAGGCCCAGGCAGCCCGGGAGGCCCAGCAGCAGTTGGCATTGGTGCAGTTGGAGGTGCAGCGGTTGGAAGGAGAGCTGGATACAGCTCGGAGAGAGAGAGATGCTTTACAGCTGGAAATGAGCTTGGTACAGGTCAGGAGGCAGAGGTTTCTTCAAGTTTCTTTCCTGGTTGGGAGGAGTAGGCTTGAGAGTTACAGCAAACACTCCCTTCTCTAACTATAATTTTTACCTTTGTGTACCTCTGTTTTTTTGTGTAGCTATGTATTAAAAGGTAAATTAATGAGTTTCTGAAAGCAAGTTATTGTGAAAGACTTATTTTTTAATAGTTGACTTAGGAAGTTCCCACTTTCTGAGTCAGTGAGGCCAGACTTCGATAAACCACAACTCCTTTTACTTTTCATTTAGCCATTGAATTGGAAGATTGACCACATGGAAACTGATTTATCATTGAAGGACTAAAGTATTGGTGTCTTTGGTTTTCACACTACTTGATAAGTGTCCTTCCAGAACCTGTTCATCTATGAGCATATGGTTGATGCTTTAAAAAGAAAAAAGCAAACTTGCTGTGCATATACTGTAACTTATTGGATTTTTTTAGCCTCATAGTGTATCATAGATATCTTTCCATGTCAATATGTACATTGTTATTTTTAAGTGTTCTATAACCTTATTATGACTGGATCGTAGTTTACTTAAGCATATTCCTTTGATGACAAATTTACGTCGATAGCAAACAAAAAGTAGAATGATGGTTGCCAGAGTCTGGGGGGAGGGAGAAATGGAGAATTGTTATTTGCCCCCCTTCCTTCACCCCTAGGCCCGGTATGAAAGCCAGCGGATCCAGATGGAGTCAGAACTGGCTGTGCAGCTGGAGCAGCAGGTGACAGAGCGGTTGGCACAGGCTCAGGAGAGTAGCCTGCGACAAGCAGCCTCCCTGAGGGAACATCACAGGTACTGGGACTTACTGGCTGCCGCTTCTCCCCGGCCACAGAAGGTATTGCTCATGCCTACCTTAGCCCCTCAGATGCCATCACCATTTTTCACTGAAGTGGTTCCTGTTAGCCAGAGCCCAGGTCTCTGGGAGCACTGACTTCAGGTGCACTTGCCAAGCCAGAAATACGTGGGAATTTTCATCATGTGGGAGTAGCCCTTAGCCAGTGCCCCTGATTGGGATGGTGATGAGCTGGGACCTATACCATCTGCAGAGATGCCTTGTGGGCTTGAGCCTCCCTGACTTCCCAGTCTCACTTCTCGCTCTCATCTTCCTACCCTCTCCCTCTACCAGTTTTTTTCTGGAAACATTTCTTAAATGTATCACTTTTTTTTTTTTTTTTTTTTTCATCAGTCCTCATCTCAGTTTCTACTTCTGGTGACCCTATCCTAAGACAACAGCTTTGTCCTCTCCTGAATCCACCTATTCATGGCCAGGCTGGCACCTTTATGTGAACACATTCTGGCTTTTTCTCATTTGATTACTGCTGTTTCCAGACTCAGTCCTCTTTCTCTCACCTGTGTCCTCTTAGGAAGCAGCTTCAGGACCTAACTGGACAGCACCAGCAGGAACTGGCTACACAGTTGGCTCAGTTCAAGGTGGAAATGGCAGAACGAGAGGAGAGGCAGCAGCAGGTGGCTCAGGACTATGAGCTGAGGTACTGGTCACTGGAGTATCCCTTTTCTGTAGATGGAGCCCAAACTGGGAATATTGAAGAGCTGCTCACTTCATAGGTCTGTCCTCTTGTAAATTGGCCTCAGCTCCTTTCAGAATTTCTGATTCCATTCTGTTTCATTCTGGTTCCTCTTTGTCTCCAAGTCTCTGCTTTCTCAAAGCTTTTTGTCACCTCTCCTGACTTTTCTTCAGACTGGCCCGGGAGCATGCACGAGTACGGGAACTGCAGAGTGAGCACCAGCAGCTGGAGGAGCAGCGGGTAGAGTTGGTGGAGCGGCTCCAAGCCATGCTACAGGCCCACTGGGAGGAGGCAAACCAGCTGCTCAGCACCACTGCCCTGCCTGCCCCTGCCCTGGTAGGCATTGCTCCATGAACTGAGCTGCTCAAGGATTGGGTTTAGATCCCTTCTTTGGAAATCTTGTTCCTCCCAAGGGAAGATCTAAGTTCAACTTCTGAGACTTACATTAGGAGAAAAAAATATGTGGGCTTTCCCAAAGAACAACTGTCTTTTTTTTTTTTTTTTAAAGATTTATTTATTTATGCATACAAGAGCTGGGGTACAGGCCAGAGATGCGGGGCGGTGAGAGGATTCACCAGAGACAGAGTGGAGAACAGAACAGGCAGATCGACTGAAGTACACTGCTGAGGGGAGCAGTGGGCAAGTCAAGAGAGGTCTGCTGTGCCATGTGGGTTTCTCCCTGGCTGGCCAGGGATCGAACTCTTGCTGCAGAGGCTGTGAATTGCCCCACAGTGCAGTGCTTAACCCCTTGCGCCACCAGGGAGGCCCAAGAATAACTGTCTTGTCAGAAGAAATCTTTCCTCATGGCCATAGCTCACCCAGACTGACCCCATTGCACTGGGCCTAACTCTCTTCTCCCAGCCCAAGAAGTGGCGAGTAATCCTTGATACTAGTTTTACCAAATGGCAGTGGAATTAATTATGATGATAAGGGGCAAAATTTGTTGGTAAATCCTGCCCTAGAATAGAGTCAAGATTTGTACTCCTAGCCCTTCTCAGATTGGCATCTCCTACTTCCTTCTTTTACTTAAGAAAGGTGTATTATTAAGATTTTTTGGGATAGGTGGTAATATGTGCATAGTAAAAAAAAATGTAAATGGTTCAAAAGGTGTAGAGTGTAAAGTACTCTTCATCCTATCTCTGTATCTTTGTCTCCCAGTTCTTCTCTGCAGAAGCAACCATTGAATTCCCCCTTTATAGTGTTTTATATGCTATTATGTAACTTTTTATTTAACCAGGTATTCATTGGTGGACATAAAGTTGTTTCTTATATTTTGCTTCTACAAAGAATGCTACAATAAATATCATTAATGTACGCGTGTGACATTTTATATATAAAATGTCTAGAAATAGAATGGTAAGATCAAAAATAAGTATTTTAAAATTTGATAGTGTTATCAAATCTCCTTTTAAGGAAGTTCTACTAATCTGTAATCTTATTAAAGTGTCTCTACCATGTCTTAGCTGGGCTTTGAGCCTTCCTTCTGCCTCTCTGTTGTTTGCAGGTTCCTCCCGCCAGCCCCTCTGGCCCTGGGCCTCAGGAACCAGAGAAGGGAGAGAGGAGGACCTGGGCTATGCCTCCAGTGGCTGCCGTGGCCCTGAAGCCTGTATTGCAGCAGAGCCGGGAAACAAGGGAGGAGCAGCCTGGAGTACCACCTGTGATCTGCAGTGCCTCCTCCCCCGATATTAGCCTCCTGCTGGGCCCCAGTTTCCAGAGCCAGCATTCCTTCCAGCCCCTGGAGCCAAAGCCAGACCTCACGCCACCCTCAGGTAACTGGGGACAGAAGGCCTCCACATACTAATTGGCTCCCTCTTACTTAGCTTCCTTTCTGTCTGTGTCTCAAGCGTATAGTTTCCCAGATGTCTTAAGAGGCTGTAGGTTGCAGGAACAGAAATGTCACGGAAATGTGATGTAGCTGGACTTGCTAGAACTGGAGTTGGGATCAGGGGTGTGAGCAGGGTGAGGTAGCTCTTCCTCCTCTGTCTGGGCCCACATGGACTCTGCCTTTTCCTGTGCATCTGCTCTTTTCCTTTGGTAAACCCACACTCTCTCTCATTCTGGTTTTATTCTCATAACTTTCACTCGCACATTGGGTTTACCAGCCAACACTTGGGACAACTTTGTAGAGACATTGGTGTCTCTTTTCCTTAGGTACAGTTTAAAGAGAGGCGAGCTGATGGGTTTGTAGCTATCCCTTAGGTTGACTGGCCTTGGGTGTGGTATCACCCTTACTTTAGTCTTCTGTGACTTGGGTGAATGGGGTTTCTCTGTGTGATGCAAACATGACAACCCAGGTTGAATCAATAATGAGGGAAGAATTATACAATTAGGGGCCTCCCTAGTGGCATAAGGGGTTAAGTCTCAGCACTCTCAAGCTGTAACCAGCCACTGCAGCCTGAGTTCAATCCTCGGCCAGGGAGCTGACCCACATGGCACAGCAGACCTCTCCTGTCTCCCTGCTGCTCCCCTCTTGTATGCATAAATAAATAAAATAAATCTTTAAAAAAAGAATTATACAATGAAATATTTTTAAATTATGTAATAATAATAAAAAAGAATGAGAGCATGTTCTGGTGAAGGTGCCAGAATCTCTCTCTTAATTCCAAACCATTTTGAGTATTGGTTTCTGTTCTTTAAGGAGTTTATGGTGTTATTTGGGGGATCTGAGCTCTCTCCTTTGTTCATGCTTCTGAGAATTCAGTGGCTGCCTTCAATCCTTCCCTCTCTAGCTGTTTTATACTTTCATTATTTTTTTCTTCTAATTGTGATGTCTCACTTGTATTTAATAGGCCCTCTTTTGGCAGGCATTTGATGAATTGATCTGTGGAGTGAATCCCCTTCACTTGCCACACTGACAGACACACACACACACACACACACACACATGCCCACGCCCACGCCCATGCCCCCTACCCTGGTTTCACTTTAAAGCTAGGTTCTTTGCTCTGTAGTTGGGGCCTTCCATACTGACGACAGAGCAGAACGGCCATTCCCTGAGGAAGATTCTGGATCCCATGGGGATGGTTTCCTAAGGCAAGGGTTGCCACCCCCTCAGGTAGAGGGCCTCAAGCATTTTTTGCACCAGGTAAGAGGGCCCACATTCCACCTTAATTTTCTTCTTCCCTTCCTCACTTCCTCTTCCTACTCTAGGAGTTCAGTACACTGATTTCATCTTGCTTTTAGAACTGACACTTTGTCCCACCTTCTTACTGTGTCTTATTCATCTCCCCAAACCCTGCTTCTCTCAGAGATTTAGGTCCCCTTTTTAATCCATCTCAGGAATCTTACTATCTTGTCCCTGCAGCTGCTTGAGACAGTTCCCCAGAACAGTGAGAACCCTTCTGTTGACCTGTTGCCCCCTAAGTCTGGTAAGTACCAACTCTTAAAAAAGGTTGGGGTTTAGCCTGGAAAAAGATGGAAGTTGGTTATTGGATGGATTTTTAGGAAATGGCATGCTGATAAGCCTAAGGAAGTAGGACTTTTTTGACTCTTGGATCCCTTTCTTTTTGCTAGGTCCTCTGACTATCCCATCTTGGGAGGAAGCCCCTCTAGTGCCACGCCTTCCACCTCCTGTCCATAAGACAAAAGTACCCATAGCCATGGCATCCAGTCTTTTCCGGGTCCATGAACTTCCCTCAACCCATTCACAGGGCACTGCTCCCAGGGGTGGCTCCCCAGACAGAGGTAAGCATGTTCTGGTTTAAGAGGAAAATAAAAAGAGAAGGTTTTAGGTGTGGAGCCAGTACCTGTAACTGAAGGACCTTCCAGATTCCTAGGGAAATGGGGTGAGGGGTAATCAGAGGGGCCTCAGGATGGCCACCATTACTGATGTGTCTCAGGTGGAGATGGGCTTGCATCCACGAGGCAGCTGATGGATGTGTCTCAGCTGTTACGACTGTACCAGGCTCGGGGCTGGGGGGCACTGCCTGCTGAAGACCTGCTGCTCTACCTGAAGAGACTGGAACACAGCGGGTATGAGCCTGGGAGGAAGGGCTAGGTGGATGGGGTCTGGAGTGTGGGTGGGGAAACGCATCAGGCAGGGAAGACTAGCATGTGTGTTAGTGGCATCTTTTGTCCTTTTGTGGGGAAGAAAGTGATGGTGAGATGTAGATCAACAAATCTTGTCGTTATGTCTGTCGTTGCTCCCTGCCTTTCTTTTGTCTCTGCCTTTTTGCTGTTGGTTTTTGCTTTATTTATTAAGAAAAAAAAAGTCCATGTCGTTCTACTTTAGTTTTATTCCTCTCTATCCCCTGCAGCTCAGAACTCACAATCCTAGAACTTGACTCTAGTATAGATCAGTATTTGATTCCACTGCTGTTTCCTCCTATCTGGTCCTCAGGTCTGTCTCTAAAGAGACAGAATTGGGAAATCCATTCAGTGTGAGGGAGAAATGGGGAAGCAGCTCCCCTATCCTTATCCCTTGATTTGTATGGCAGGACGGAGAGCCGAGGGGAGAATGTCCCCAGAAGGACGGCAGACTCCCGCTTGGGTGAGATCCCTCGGAAAGAGGTGAGGGAAAGTAGGGCAGGGAGGTGTGGGTAGAAGGGCTCTCACTGACTCGTTCCTCTGCTTCCACTCATTTCCTCGCTGGCCTGTTCTCTAGTATCTGACCCCTCCAATTCCTGTTCTCATTTTCTGTAGCAATGGTCTTCCCCCTTTGCTGACTCACTCTGGCCCTCTCCCTGCACGGTGCCTTTCCTCCTTGGAGTGGGGGCTTGAGGTGACAGGCCCTGACCTTTTCTTTTTTCCCCTCAACTCAGATTCCCTCCCAGGCTCTCCCTCGCCGCCTTGCTACAGCCCCTAAGACGGAAAAACCTCCAGCACGGAAGAAGAGTGGACATCCTGCCCCTGGTAGCATGAGGAGTCGGGGGGGAATCTGGAGATGAGCACCGTACCTTTCTCCTCTTCTTTGTTCTCTTACTATCTTAATAAATGTTCAGTAGTCTGTGTTAGCCTCTGACTCACAGGAATTAGGAAAATGGAGATTTTATAGAAAACATTTTTGTAAAGAAACTGCATTTATATTTACTCCTCCTTCTGAGTATGTTTTTACTTTATATTCTGTAGAAAAACATGAATGCTTTGAAAGAAAATAGCCCATGGCTAGGTTTTAGCAAGATAAATAAGGTTCAGTGTTTTGAGAGTAAAACAGTGTGATTGGCTCTGGTTGGTAGTAAAATTATAGATAATGCTCACTCTCTCCTTAATGCATTTCTGTGTTTCCCAGATTTTCTAAAACAAGTACGCACTACTTAATAATCAGAAAAGCCAAGTTTTTAATAAAAGAATAAGTTATTGTGTAAAGAGTTTGAGTAAAAACTTGATTGCTGGCAATACAGTTTTTTCTTTTAAGAGCAGGTAATTCAGGTTGCATCAGTGGGATTCTGATTGACAGATTCTGCTCCAGTCAGCAGACATGCTATGGCTGTAATCTCTTCTTATAAAATCTCAGAGTGCTGGCAAGCAAAAAAATAAAAGCCCTGATTACCAAAACTTCCATTCTAATATTCACTGAAATGAACAGAGAAAATTAGAGAAGAAAATGATATCACTATGAAACTTAAACCCTTAATTTCATAATACTTGAAAAACCCATAGTACAATTATATTACACTGTAGGACGACATCTTGGCGCCCCCACACAGCTCTGGGCAAAGATGGTGGGAACTACCATTCTGAAGGCTTGATCTCACTTGAGTATTTGAGAGTCCAAGTTTATTAGATTCTGTGAGGCAGTGGCACCCTTCTATCAATATTTTCTCTTTGAGTTACTTGGCTCCAGAATAGATGTGATAGGATACAGACTCAAACAGTATTTCTTTTTTCTTCTGATAAGATAACAGAAGGGAATATTTATTATATGCATGTTACAGTCAGTCAGAACTAACCCAGAATGTCACAGGTCCAGGGCCTAGGACCAAAAGGGACCGCTTTTGGTATGAGCAAGGTGGTCTCTCAAAGGTGGTGGTTGCAGCAATCAAATGGTGATAGATGTTCTAGATTCACTGAGACAATTTCTAGACAATAGCATGCAGTCCAGCAGCTTGTACCAGCACCCCTGGCCTGTGGCTTCCGTGGGTGCTACTAGTTTACTTGGACTTCTGCCTCATCTTCTTTTGCACTTTTGCCTGTGCATTTGCTTCTTCCTCCATTTGGCTGCCATGGCGCAGAGGCTGAGAAGATGGCGCTAATCTTTAGGTCACACAGTATTCCTATGAACATGTTCAGATCTTACTTCTTTTCACTTAAAAGTAACTTTTTAGCTACCAGGGGAGAGTAAAAGGAAGAAAAGATAAACACACATGACCAGCAAGTGTAGGGTTATTTGGCCAGTGCAGCCTAGTCACCAGTCACCAGTCTTGCTCAGGGCTGCTCTCTCTGGCAAAGAACAAAAGGTAAACTTGTACAAGAGTAGCACCAGCTCCAGGGCCTTTTTCAAGCCCTGTTTTGTACCCACTGATGAAAGTGTGTGCTTTTCTATTTTCTTTATCAAAAGTGCATAAAATTGGGCCTCCCCTGTTGGTGCAGGCAGTTGAGCACCACGCTGTGAAGCTGTCCGCAGCCTCTGCAGCGCGGGTTTGATCCCAGCTGGTGAGGATCCCACATGGTGCAGCAGATTTCTCCTGTCACTCCTGCTGCTCCCCTCGGCAGTGTATTTCATCAGTCGGCCTGTTCTGTCCCCCGCTCTGTCTCTGGTGAATCCTCTCACACTTCCACATATCTGGCCTGTACCCCAGTTCTTGTATAAATAAGTAAAAAAATCTTTAAAAAAAAAAGTGCTTAAAATTGATTTGACCAAACTGATAAAGGGCACACTATCATCATTGATAGAAGGTGGTTTAATATCATTTTTAAAAGCTGGCAAAAGCTTTTTAAACCAAGTATTACCTCATTATCTCCCAGATTTCAAGCTGTCGCCATCAGTCAACATGCCCTCCATTTTTCCTGACATGAAGAACAATGTGGAGAATATTCCCCAACTCTCTAGAATAAAATCATAAAAGAACACAGTGTGAGGGCCTCCCTGGTGGCGCAGGGGGTTAAGCACAGCACTATGAAGCTATCTGCAGCCTCTGTAGCACAAGTTCCATCCCTGGCCAGCCAGGGAGCTACCCACATGGCACGGCAGGTCTCTCCTGTCTTGCCTGCTGCTCCCCTCAGCAGCGTATTCAGTCAGTCTGCCTGTTCTGTTCCCCACTCTGTCTCTGGTAAATCCTCTCACCCCCTGCACCTCTGGCCTGTACCCCAATTCTTGTATGTATAAATAAATAAATCTTTAAAAAAAAAAAACAACACAGTACTAACTTAACCATTTTGTGAGCTAATAGTAAGAACTTTGATTTAAAAAAAATGTACCCACATTAAAAGTTTGTTTCTTCACCAAAGACCACCAAGGAGACTGAAGAGGATGAGAAAAGCCATACCTAAAAAGCCCCTGCTTTTCCCCTCTAATACCATTTTGTGAATATTCTGAGGGAAGGGAAAAAGAGAAAGATTTTGGGAGCTCCATGAAAACCCACACACAGAGGAGGTGAGTGCAAACTTTAAGCTCAGGCTTCACTTGGTGCACACAGAGTGTGATACGGGATTTTGTCTGTGGAGAACTCCCACAGCTGCTGTGGTTGGGGGGTGGGGGCGGTTCTGGTGGATGAATTTCACAAACATAATGTTGAGTGGGAAAAGCAGATTGCAGAAGAAAATATGCACACACTATTTATGTAAAGTTTGAAAACAAGCACTGGGTGGTCCAGTTGAGCGTGGGGTGTTGGAGCCCAAACAGGGTGAGGAGGGAGCCTCAATGGGGCAGCCTGGCTCAGTCACAAAGGTGAGGAGTCAGTTCATTTGGCAGTTGTCAGCATGGGTGGGGTGAAACAGGGCATCTGTGGTGGGAAATTGTTAAATATGGGGAATTGATCAAATATGTAAATTTATTATGAATAATGGAAGCCAGCTTCCTCTCTATTGGAGAAAGGACTTACAAATATGGAAAGGGAGAAAACTAGAACGAATTCTGTGGTGCTGGAAAAATCAGTGTAGACTGTGGTCTTCAAAATATCTCCAGGGGCCTCCCTGGTGGCCTAGGGGTGACTTCTCAGCACTATCATTACTACGGCCTGGCCTGAGTTTGATACCCCGGCCTGGGAATTAACTCACACATGGCACAGCAGACCTCTCCAGGCTCACCTGCTGCTCCCCTCAGCACTGTGTTTCACTGTAAATCTGCTGTTCTGCTCCCCAAGCTGTCTCTGGTGAATGTTCTTACCCCTGCACCTCTGGCCTGTACTCCAGTTCTTCTATGCAAAAATAAAATAAAAACCACCAAAATATCCACAGATGTAAATTGGTACATAATGTACATTCACATACTCCCTGGCAACATGAGTTCGATCCCTGGCCGGGGAGGTGACCCACATGGCGCAGCAGACCTCTCCTGTCTCACCCGCTGGTCCCCTCAGCAGTGTATTTAAGTACATCTGCCTGTTCTGCTCCCCACTCTCTCTGGTGAATCCTCTCACCTCCCTGCACCTCTGGTTTACATCACAGCTCTTGTATGTGTAAATAAATAAATCTTTTTTAAGAAATGAGAAATGTGGACCTCCCCTAGTGGCACAGTGGTTGAGCGCTGGGCTGCGAGGCTGCCCGCAGCCTCTGCAGCGCCCGTTTGATCCCCGGCTGCCGGGTGAGGGTCCCACATGGCGCGCAGACCTCTCCTGCCATGCTTGCTGCTCCCGTCAGCAGTGTATTTCTTCGTCAGTCTGCCTGTTTTGCTCCCTGCTCTGGCTCTGGTGAATCCTCTCACCCTCCCGTGCTTCTGACTGTACCCGGTGCTTGTGTAAATAAATAAATAAATCTTTTTTTTAAAAAAAAAAAGAGAAACGAGGGCCTCCCTGGTGGTGCAAGGGGTTAAGCACCGCACTATGAAGCAATTCGCAGCCTCTGCAGCATGAGTTCAATCCCTGGCCGGCCAGGGAGCAACCCACATGGCGAGGCAGACCTCTCCTGTCTTGCCCACTGCTCTCCTCGGCAGTGTATTTCAGTCAGTCTGCCTGTTCTGCTCCCCATTTTGTCTCTGGTGAATCCTCTCACCCCCTGCATCTCTGGCCTGTACCCCAGCTCTTGTATGCATACATAAATAAAACTTTAAAAAAAAATGAGAAATGACAGCTTCAGGGCAGATTACTGCTTATGTTGAACACGATATTGCGAGGTGTGGAAGAGACCGTGACTGTTAGAGAAATTGATACGGAAACCTATGAAGAGATCTATAAATCAACAAGACAGAATATTCCAGTGTTCTTTGTCTGGGAAAATGGTGTTGTACCTGTTGCCTCTCCATTGACAGATGGCTGCGACAAAGAATTGATCCCATTGGAAACTAAGGGACTTATTATGATTGCTTCCTACAGAGAATCCTGCATAAATTTTGGTATTAGAAATGACCAAGGAGTCTGCCACTCCTCAAATGAGGTGATTTGCAGATAACTCACAAAATCATTTGTGAGTTAAATGGCATTTTAATTTTTCTCCAATCCTTCCATTAAATGTCACCAAGACACAGAAAATTCAGGAGTTAATCAGCTCCAATTGTTTTTATCAGACACTATCTGAATTTTTTTCTTTAAATTAGTTTCCTTTCTTTTGTTAAAGAAATTATGAAAACATAGAGGAAAAACAACAGAAGCAGAAATAGACCTCAAACTATTGAGAAATGACATTATGTGGTAAAACTAAAACGTCAAGCAAAGGGACGACAAACACCCAATCAGATAGTGCTGACCCCTAGGAGCTCCTGGGGGAGAAGGAGCTGTGACGGGGAGGAGACTCAGGGACTTCAGGGTGTTGGTACTATTCCATTTCTTCAACAGGCTGATGATTACAAAGGTATTTGTCACTGTGCTTTATAATTTGCACCTACAAGTTACATAAATATCTAATAGTAAGGAAGAAAATGTTATTACATTTATATTAGAAAAATAAGTTACGTATATTTAACTATTTAAAACTGTATGTGCATGCACGCTTATAAAATGCATATAGTTAGAAAGATACTGTCAAAAACAAAATGTCTTAGACAAATTTATGTTGAACCTATGTCAGATTTTACTAAGTTGCTGACAAGGGAAAGCAGTAAGAAAAAAAGTAAACCTGTTTAGTGGGAAGTGGCTACTGTGAAAAGCCAGGAAATACTTCCGCAGCCAGAACTATATACAAGCCTGGGGGACTTTGTTCAGTAAGAGAGGGCAGGCTTTGGAATGAAGCGCAAAACAGCTGCAATGCTCTGTAATTCACATTCTCCACAAATCCTCAAATCATCTCACTAATAGCATCTTCAAGTGTGTGGGTTTTTTTCTTAAAGACTTACTTATTTATGCATATAAGCACGGGGGTACAGGCCAGAGGTGCTAGGGGTGAGAGGATTCACCAGAGACAGAGTGGGGAGCAGAAATACACTGCTGAGGGGAGCAGCGGGCCAGACAGGAGAGGCTGTGTGGGTTGCTCCTGTGGACAGCTTCACAGTGCTGAGATTTAACCCCTCGCGCCACCAGGGAGGTCCAGTGCGGGGGTCTTTTTATGTTGGTACAAAGAAGTGTTACATTTAAAGCATAAATGTTTGAAAAGTAAAGTTTGAATGGTAAAGTGAAAAGTTTTTGTGACTCTAGTGTTCTTTCCTCTTTTGCTATAGGGGGAGTCTAAGGGAAAAGAGGAAAAAAAGAAGGGAAAAAAAGGCAAGGAGGTGGCTGGGTCGCCCTTTTGTTTTGAGCTGCTCTCTCTAGAACTTTAGTTCTCATTTTGTCCAACCTTTGAACTGCTTAAAATTTTTTCCTACCATACATATGGATCTTCTTTTAAAAATATAACGTAACAGTAATATCTAGTTGTTGAGAATTGGTGGACAAAATGTCTTCTTGTGTGTGTGCTGAAATGATTGACGGCCGGCTCTGGATTCTAAAGTCTGGATTTCCAACCACATGGCTTGGCCTCAGCACTGATGATTATAGATGTGCCACTTCAGTGCAGGAAATCAAGCTGCTGATGTTAATAATAATTTATCACCCCTGTGTTTAGGGTTGACTGGGGAAGAACGACCAATCCACAGAGTGTCTGCGTGCAGGATAATACTAAGGTGACTGTCACACTGAGTCTTTGGTGAGGGTAAAATATGGGACATGAATATTCATAATGTGTCATAGGGGTCTCCAGAGAAACAGAACAGACTATGTGTGTGTGTACGCATGTGCTTGTGTGTGTATGTGTATATATATATATATATATATATGTATTTATTGTGCCTATGCACATACCTACATGCATATGTAGATATACACATACACAGAGAGACAGACTGGCAGGCAGACAGAGACACTGAGAGACTTGTTTTAAAGAATTGTTCATGTGATTGCAGAGATTTGGCTAGCCCAAAAATTGCAAAGTCATCAGGCTAGAGACTCATCAGGGAAGACTTGTAGTTCATGTCTTTGCTTGGTGTCTGTGTGCAAGTCTTCAAATAATTCGATGTGTCCACACAACTCTATGGAGTACAATCTGCTTTATTCAAAGTCCACAGATTAAAATGTTAATCTCATCTTAAAAATACCTTCCCAGCAGCATCTAGAGTAATATTTTTTTTAAGATTTATTTATTTATGCTTACAAGAACTGGGGTAGCTCCCTGGCCGGTCGGGGATCGAACTCATGCTGCAGAGGCTGTGGATTGCTTCATAATGCGGTGCTTACCCCCTTGTGCCATCAGGGAGGCCCTAGAGTAATATTTGACCAAATGAGTTTGTGATCTAGCGAAGCTGAAATATGTAATTAGCCATCACATAGATTTTGTACAAAAAGATGCTTTTCATTCTCAGTTTGATCACAGAAAATCTCCCATAAGCTATTGACACCAGGGGGTAGCCTGCCAGATTCAGGTTCAGGTCCCTTTGTAAGTTATCCTCAAACTTCTAAATGCATATTTTTTACATTCACCATTTATGATTTATACAAGTGCCTTTTTAGCCAACATTTGGGCTTTTGAACATCAGCAAATGAGTCAACATTTCAAGTTGTTGCTAGGTGGTCATACAGGGGTGTTAATTTGTGTGTACATTTGAATAATTTATAAAGTTCTAAATTTTACTTAAAAAGAGTAGAAAACAGGGCTCCCTGGTGGCACAAGGGGTTAAGTCTCAGCACTATGTGTAAGGTTGAGGCCGGGGCAGAGCTGGGGTAGAGGAGGGGGAACTTGAAACTGCTGCTACCTGCATCCAGGGAGCCAGCTCTG